ACCTGGTCTACAGAACAAGTTCTAGGAAAGTCAGGGCTACACAGAGAAATCCTACCTCAAAAAATAAAAAACAAAAAATAACAAAAAAAAAATATAAACAGCATTTCTTATAGCATTGTTAAGACAATAATATTTAAAACCTAAAGTAATGGAGAAATCCCTAAAAAAAAAAAAAACTATAGAAAGTTAGGTACTGTCCCTGCATTAGAACCAGAGACTTCATGATCCTCTAACACTGCTTGAGTCTTCAGAGGCCTCACAGGTTATAAGCAAAGAACTAAGTTTATGGTTGGATGAAGGAATCAAAGGCACCTCGCTACAGAGATCCTACACAGCCTCGATTATCTGTACTACTGATGACAGCCAAAGCATGGAACCAGCCCAGCACCTACCAACAGATGATCAAGAACATGTGATATATATCACAAATGCATATGTACACACACGCACATATGCATGCAATGCAGTATATTATCCAGCCATGAGGAAAAATGAAGGCATATCATTTGCAGGAAAATGGAGATCACCACGAAAAGCAAATTAAGCCTGACTCGGACGGACTAAATGACATGAAAATAGAAGAAAAGCTATTTGAGGAAAGAGCGGAGTCAAGGGAAGAGAAGACAAAGGCGGGAGTGGGTGGATGGGCTGAATAGCCAAGTGCATCATACGTGAAAAGGACGCAAAGAACACAACACTTTGTAAGTCAGTATAGGCAAGAAAAAGTTAAAGTGAAATAAAAAATAAACCTGGGGTTGGAGAGGATAAAGAGTCAAGGGAACAATAGTTAAATACAGAATGTTCTAAGGGGAAAAAAGCCTAAGCAATCCATAGGCTTTAAAAGACCAAAATGAATACTCACTGTAGTTCCCTTGTTAGGAGAAATTAACTCGGGAAAAAAATATCACAGCAGATATTCATATTTCCAAACTGTTCCCCTTACCCATTGATAAATTATGTTCACACAGTTAAAATAACAACAAATAAATATTTAAACACACAAACTACATATCCATTTACTGCAGGTTAACAATAATCATTTATAAAATCAAAGTTAATAATAAGAGCCCCTGTCTTCCCTAAGGCAAAAGAGTTAATTCTGTTTTCTAAGAAGTCTCTTTATATTTTAAAAGAAAAATGCTAATTCAAGTAGGCAATGGATATTCACCCTGGTGAAATTTTTTAATGGTTGAACTACTACTGGCTAAAATATATTATTCTATTGTAAAGCATATATGAGTAAAAAGGCATGTTCCAGTGGCTGGTGAGGTGGCTCAGCCAGTAAAAGCGCTTTGTCCCCAAGCCTGATAGCCCAAGTCCATCCCTGGAACCTACACAGTTAAGGGAAAGATCTATTCCTGCAACTTGTCCTGATTTCAACACACATATTAAGAGGCATGTGCAGGCATGTGTGTGCATGCGCACACACACACACACACACACACACAGTGAAGAAATAAAATGTAAATTTTTTTTAAGATTTATTTCTTTTTATTTTATGGGTATGAGTGTTTTCCCTGTAGGTATGTGCTCCATGTGCATGCCTAGTGCCCACAAAGGCCAGAAGGGGGCGTTAGATCTGCTACAACTACAGTTACAGATGGCTTTGAGCTGCCTTGTGTGTGCTAAGAACTGAACTCAGGTCCTCTGGAAGAGCAGCAAGTACTCTTATAACCACTGGGCTATTGTTCCAGTCCCAATAAAATGTAATTTTTAAAAAGACGGGAACAGGAAGGATGGAGAAGCAGCTTCACTGCTAAAGTGCTTGCCATGTGAGCATCAGAAACTGAGTCCAATTCCCAGCACCCACATGAAACCACAGTACGGTGGAATTATCATAACTACATTTCAACCAGGAGAGATGGAGACGGTCAATCCCGGAGACTTACTGGTCAGTCAGCCTAGTATAATCTATGAGCCCCAGGTCCTAGTGAGAGACCTTGTCTCAAAAAGATAGTCAGTTCCTGAGGACCAACACTAAAGGATGACATCTGGCCTATACACAAACACACAGACACACACACACACACACACACACACACACACACACACACACACGTTCACCCAAACACATACCAAGTTACACACATACATACACACACACAACTTAATAATTAGGCTTTTTTTAAAAGATGGACCATTTTACCAGATACTTTGAGGACTTGAAGATTCTAAGTAAAAAGACCCAGGTAAATGATGTGGTGCCATAGTACACATAACTTATAGCATCTGATATTACAATCAGCTGTCAATAAGAAGCCATCAGAACCATTCATGAGAAACTCTCAGCTGCCTGTCTTCCCTCTCTGGATAATTTCTAAGGAGTAGAAGAAAACTGCTGCTCCCCTGAGTAGCTCCAACATAAAGCAATTAGTGCCATCACCCTTGGATGTGTGAGAATGAAAAATCAATACCAACAGCTGCAGAACAGAACAAGAGGATAAGGAAGCCAGCGAGGGAAACCAGAGCAGGCCAGGGGAGAGCCATAGGAAAGGCTCTTGCTCTCCCGGGTCTGTTTTTTAAGAGTGGCTGGAAACAACACCTGTTAGTTCAACTTGTCACTCCAAAGAGTTCAGCAATATTCAACTCAAGCTGCTGCCATAAGAAGGATTACCAGTGTAACAAAGTAGGCCTTTTTTTTTAGTAAATAATCATGTTCCAATTTTCACAAATAAATTAAAAAGCAGAAAACTCTATTGCTAATAAAGTAGTTAACCTAATAGCTTATGAGCTACCAACATACATGAGGTCAAATACATCATAAAGCATAAAAATCCTGTAGGTGCAAAAATGTCCACACTTGTTTCCTAAATGAAAGTAGGACAGACATTTACCATAGATGATGCATTTCCTTGTGCTCAGTTAGCTTCCAATCACAAGCAAATAATAACAACTACAGTTCTGCTTTGTAAGACGAAAGCAAGTCATCAATTACAGCTTGGGAATTATGTAACAGTGGATACAGCACAGATATATATAAACCATTACTGTATAAATGTAAATCCTTCTTGTTACAATGTGTACTGCTCCTCCCTTCAAAAAAAAGAAATAGATCTAACTGGGTTTCTAAAGGTGAGCAAGTAAGTTCACAAGGACCTAATGGGTTAGGGTTAGGGTACATAAGTTAATTGACTATCTGACTTCCTTCACTAAGCTTAAATACAATATAAAATGTAAACAATATTTTACTTTCCACACCTTCTCCCTCAAAAACAACAGAGAATCTAGCAAAACATTAATAGAAATGCTCACTTCATTCTTAAATTCTGAAATATCTTTCCTTCTTACACCACATCTGAACTAAACATAAACTGGCTTATCATTGAATGGTATTTTTGAAATATTTGGCAAACCCATAAGTATACATATTCTTTAACCCATCAATCTTATTTCCAGAATTCCTACAGGATTACACAAATACCTACAAACACACATACAGAGAGAGTCACTACTATATTCTTCATATTAAAGGAAAAACTTGACACATCAGTACTACAGAATATTAGACAACTGTTCAAAAGGAGGATATGTTAGTTTTATTTCTGATGCTGTGATAAAGTATCCTGCCTGAAAAACAAACAAAGAAAGACAGAGACACACACACACACACACACAGAGAGAGAGAGAGAGAGAGAGGCGAGAGGGAGGGAGAGGGAGGGAGGGAGGAGGGAGGGAGG